GCTCCCGTCCCGGCCCCTGCCCCTGCCCGGGCTCCCGTCCCGGCTCCTGCCCCTGCCCGGGCTCCCGTCCCGGCTCCTGCCCCTGTCCCGGCTCCTGTCCCGGCTCCTGCCCCTGCGAAGCCGCCGCTCCGCGCGGTGCCTCCCGGCGGGTTCCTTCGGATCGAGCCCACCCTTCCCTCGCGAGCCGCGGGCGCCCCGCGCAGGGACCAGGGCCACGGGTCGCTTCGGGAGAGCTCTGGGACCGGTGGTGCCGCAAGAAGTTGAGCGCTCACCCATTCCCGTTGTGCTGCACTGCTGCGTGCCGCACCTCGCTGCAGTTACCCGCTTGCCGCGCTTAGGTGCGTGCTCGGGGGTCTGTTAACAGGGCAACGAAAGCGGCTCCCTCGGCAGTGCTCTGCACCCTGGGCAGCCTGCCCCGCTGGTGCCCAGGTCCCTCCGCGTGCCCCTGCTAACCCGGCTCTCTCTCGTGTCCGCGCTGCAGGGCCGCCGCTGAGGCCGGGAGCGCCGGGGCCGTCCGCAGCGCCGCTCTGCCGGCGCCATGAGCCTCCTCACCACGGCCCCGCTGCGGGTCGCCGGCCGCCACACCAGCACCGACCTCAACTACATCATCAAGGAGCATTACAACTACACGGGGAAGCTCAACGAGAACGCGGACAGCGGCATACGAGTCACCTCGGTGGTTTTTATTGTCATCTGCTGCTTTATAATCCTGGAGAACATTTTTGTCTTGCTCACCATCTGGAAGACCAAGAAGTTCCACAGGCCCATGTACTACTTTATTGGGAACCTGGCGCTTTCGGACCTGCTGGCCGGAGTGGCCTACACCGCCAACCTGCTGCTCTCAGGGCACAAAACCTACAGCCTCACCCCCTCGCAGTGGTTCGTGAGGGAGGGCAGCATGTTCGTGGCCTTGTCGGCGTCCGTGTTCAGCTTGCTGGCCATCGCCATCGAGCGATACATCACCATGCTGAAGATGAAGCTCCACAACGGCAGCAACAGCTTCCGCTCCTTCCTGCTCATCAGCGCCTGCTGGGTCATCTCCGCCATCCTCGGCGGGCTGCCCATCATGGGCTGGAACTGCATCAGCCTCCTGTCCAACTGCTCCACGGTGCTGCCCCTCTACCACAAGCACTATATCCTCTTCTGCACCACAGTCTTCACGGGCCTTTTGCTGTCCATCGTCGTCCTCTATTGCAGGATCTACTCCATGGTGAGGACTAGGAGCCGCAGGCTGACGTTTCGGAAAAACATTACCAAAGCCACCAGGAGCTCAGAAAAGTCCTTAGCTTTGCTCAAGACAGTGATCATAGTCCTGAGTGCCTTCATAGCCTGCTGGGCTCCCTTGTTCATCCTGCTTTTACTGGACGTGGGGTGCAAGGTGAAAACCTGCCCCATCCTCTTTAAGGCAGAGTATTTCTTAGTGCTGGCTGTGCTCAACTCGGCCACGAACCCTATCATCTATACCTTAACGAACAAAGAGATGAGGAGGGCTTTCATCAAGATCCTGTGCTGCTGCAAATGTCCCCCCGCAGACGCTGGCACCAAATTCAAGCGGCCGATCATCGGCGGGATGGAGTTCAGCCGGAGCAAATCCGACAACTCCTCCCACCCGCAGAAGGAGGAGGGCGACCGTCCCGAAACCATCATGTCTTCAGGCAACGTCACCTCGTCGTCTTAGCGAGCGCAGGGGCCTGAGCGGGAGCCGTCCCTCCGGAGGCCGCGCGCCGGGCGAGCAAGTAGCGATAGTTGTAGCGGGGCAGGCGGCGGCTCGCGAGGCCGCGCGGCCACACGCGGCTCTGCCCCAGAGCCACCTCCCCGGAGCCTCTCTGGTCCTTGCGCTGAGCGGGAGCAAGGGAGCAGGCGAGGAGAGAAGGGGAGAACGAGGTCTTGTTTTTTTTTCCTGTGAGAAGAATGTGAAGTTGTTGGTTTTTTCTTTACTTTGCAGCAAAACACTGACACAAAGATCCTTCGGTCCCGAGCGTAGCCGTGGCTCTGCTCTACCTGGGCAGAAGCGTTTGTCTAGCACGTAGCAAGGGGGAGATCCGAGCAGCACCAAGCTGTAATTTTGCATCCCTTTCCAGAGCTCCCAGTCGAGCCGCAAGGTTTTATTGGCAGCATGCAGAGGGGTTGGCGTTGTATTCAGCAAGGCTGTAGCCGTGAAGTTTCGCCGGTGCTCCCCAGCGCGCTCCAAGGCCAGGAGCCGGGCTCTGCAGTTGCTTTTCACCGACCCACACGCCGACTGCTGCCACTTGTAGGGAGCAGCTCGGAGGGGCATTTGGCCCCATACATCAATGGCCTTGTTAACGCGTGCGTTACCTTGGCAAATGCAAGGTAGAGCTAAAGGCCGTCGCCCTCTAAGATGAGGGAATGTCAATCTAATAGTATAAAATACTATTGACAACGGTAGGACTTTTGTTGAAGTAAAAAACAAAAAAAAAGAAAAAACAAAGCAAAACCTGAAGGGTAATTTCAGTGTTAGGTCCATAGTATTTCCAAAGGTAAAGATTAGTCAGGACATCTGAAAGAAATACCTTGAGTTTCAGAAAAAATTAAAGTGAAACGATTGCGGATAAATGCACTTCCATAACAAATTGCAATACACAGTTTGGCGCCTTTTATTAATGTTGGTAATTTCAGCAAAGATGTCTGTATCTTATCAGTTCGTGGAAGAAGTACCTTGCATTAAATTGAATGTATTTGTTTTACACCGTCATTTTTATTCCTCTGTTTTTCTAACCTGTGCTAATGGGGTTGAATGTGTACAATGTAAATAATTTAAAAAGATGCAGGAGACTTCATGCATCTAGGGTATTACTGTAACAAAAGTGGTATATCCGGGATAGCTGAGAGCAATTGACTGATTTACAGTTATTGGCAATTCTTAAAAATTTTTTTTGTAAAGAAAATATATTGCCTTTGTAGTGAGATTTCCAGTGCAATTAAACGGATATTTTTTTCTGGTTTAAAAAAAAATAGTATTTAAAATGTTTCTGACTTTTATTGTTCAATTTGCACATAGCTTTATTGACTTCTAAACATTAATAAACTGATTTTTTTAAAGATTCTGTTATCACAGCGCTGGTTTTGTACTACCGCGGGCTTCCACGCCGGGCTTGGTTTCTTGTTAGCAGGCGTCAATGGAAGAGCTTAGTTCAGTGCCCACTGGATTAAGCCTGTTGTGTGGGATCTTTCTGGCCAGTTAAGACATAGATATTTAATGCCACTTTACAAGATCGTGTAGAATACTAAATTAACGCTTTTTATTTTCTTCTCACCAGCATATATGCTATTAGTGATGAAATAAAGATCTAAATAGCATGTTGGCAAGCAACAGAAACAGAAGATGCCTCTGAGTTCGGCCACCACTGCCCAGAGTCACCTAATAAGTGGAAGAACAGCCTCTAATCGCTCATATCCCTCATCGCTTTTCAATGATGCTTGTAATAAACTTAAGTTTATAAAATACAGCCTTGATTAAGTATCTGCTGTAGGCTCCCTAGGCCCAGCCCAAGGTGAGGAACATGGCCATGAATGTGAATAGGGACCCTGTTGCTTCTAAAGCTTTGACTTCCATTTCCTCTCCTGCTGCCGTTCCCTCCAGGTCTTGCTGTGAAGCCTCGTGGCGCTCGCACAGGATGCAGTTGGGTGGAAAGATAAACCTCACCTTGCGGCGCTGTGCGTCCTCTGTGCGCAGCGTCGGCTGTGGGAACCCAGCGCCTGCTCTCCGAGGAAGGCCCCGGGTCGCAACCCCGCTTCCTCAAGGAAATTCCAAAAATGCCCTGAAGACAAAAGAGTGGAAGCAGGCTGGAATTTCTCTCCATCTGTCTGCCCGGACGGAAGGAATGATTTCATGTGTGCTCACTTCCTAGCCTTTTAATTCGCGTCCTGAGCAAAGCTGGAAAAAATGTTGAATCCGTGTGTGTGCGAACGATGGAGCCTGCCTCGGCTCGGGGATGTGTACGGAAGGTGCCCTCAGTTGTAGGGGAAAGTGCAGTGGGGCTTAGAGTACCAAAAGGTATGTAAATTAACACCAAAAAGGTATGTAAATTATGAAAATCTAAGTGCTACTGATGAGTAAAGAAGGGCAATATTTAGGGACACAGGTTCTGGTCTTCATTTTAGTCCCAATCATGGTTTGCAGGATTGTTTTCTTTATCCAAGAGAATCTTGGGACGAGGGTCTTCCCCTCCTGAAGCCTTTGCGGCATTAAGGTTGTTGGTCCCACTGGGGCTGGAGGTCGTATGACGAGGGATGAGCCATGTCCAAGTGCGTCGGTGTCACAGCCCCTTACGTATGGGTAGGTGACAGCCAGCACGTTAGTCACTTCCCCGCTCTGGGTTGCTCTGTCCCCCTTATCTGCTTTGTTTAATAGCAGTGCAAGTCTTCGGGAGGGGAAATGACTCTTTCCCCCTGTGTGTTTGTTTGATGGAAGCCAAATTTCGGCAGGTAACTCAAAGCCCTACAGAAATTTATGCAATAAAAGAAAAAAAAAAATGCAAAGGCCCCAGTCTGGCATTGGGCCACGGGAAACATTTCCTATGCTCTTGATCAAGATGACTGAGACCCATTTCCTCCACGGTCAGGCCACATCTGTGCGTGGAGCAAAGCTTCAGGCAGGGAATAACAACAACAATAACAGTAGTAGCAGTCAGGGTTCCCGATGGAAGGTAAGTCAGACTGTTTGTATCTCTCTGCGCTTCCTAGAGGAGAACCCTGCACCTCCTTGACCACTGAAGTCTACTAGACTAAATCAACAGGTTGGGGCAGCTGCAGAGCGCCCGGCTTGGGATGTGTAATGTGGAAAGGGGCTGACCGCGGCGCCAGCCCTCGGAGCGCCCGGCTCGGCTCCGGGACCTGGAAAGCACCAAGTGAACACGTGAAATAAAATAGCTGGAGTTGCCAGCAATAACCTGCTCCTTTGACTGTATTAATTGCACAGGGATGGAAAACGAGTGTGCTGTACAACGTACAAAAACTAAAGGAAAGTTAAAAATACTGCTCTTACTCTGCCCAACAAAAACTACAAGGGTTGCCCTCCTGTGACATTTCCTAATTTGGCCTGGAAGATCTTGATACTGATTGTGTTTTATACGGACTGAGGGCCCTTAAAAGGGCCACACTGACTAAGCATCCAAAAATGTGGATACTTAGAACTGATCTATAGTAATCTGTAGCTACGAATTGCTGGAAATTCCCCAGGGACAGGCATCATCCCTTGCAGGGTTTTTAAACTCCTTGGAAATACCGTTCTTGTACTTTATTTATTTATTTGTGGAAAGGACTTTCCTGGAAAACTGTGACTGAACCTTCAAGGATTTAAGAAACAAGCCAAAAATCCATCCAAGTTCTATTCCCATAATCTGCTTTCACAGGCTTTTCTAATCCAGTCTTTGCATCTGTAGAGGGAAAGAGTTTCTTCATTCTCTATGGTCTGATTTATTCTCATTGGACCGTATTTCTCTCTATGCAGTCTGCAAGAATTGCTTCTGGGTTAAGAGACCTTTTAATTTTTACACTGGGCATGGGATTTTCTAAAATTCTGTCTCTATTGGCAGTAACCAAATGAAGTCTGCACATAGGAGGAGGATTTAAGTCTGAGCTCCTGCAAATTTGTTGCAGTAAGCAGCTTATGTTGAAATAAACGTCTAGAGATCTGAAACTCAAGCATCTGATATACACAAAGATACTAATAATTTTTTCTTTTTTTATGGGGAGAAAGTTCAGAACATAATTTGTATGGACTTACATGATCCACTGAAGAGAATTATAGAAAAAAAAATCTGGGAATTACGCAGTAACTCTTTTCCTGTATTCAGAACTTTTAATATTACCTTCATGATACAAAAAGGCAGGAAATCAGACCAACCGCACCCAAGAACTCTCCAGGCATGGAAAAGTCCTATGTTAAAGCAAAGTTGACAAAGTTCTGTCAACTTCCCGTGAATGTTTAAGCCTGGCTTAGTAATTACAAAATGGAAACTTGGCACAAAGGCCAGTTAAAATGGATTTTCAGCATCTCACTTAAAAGCAGGATCAAAATACAGATCAAATAATTTTTGGTAACGAATGCACATTTCGAAATCACAGGGTTCCTCTCTGCCAGGCTCTATGCAAGCACTGATGAAAGCATTAGCACTACTAGCTTTGAATCCTAGCTGCTATCTGAAACTACGACAGTGAAGCACAAAATGTAGTTTGTAGTGTATGAAGATGGGCATGTGACCTGATAGAGGCAACAGAAGGAGAATACATAAGGTTGCAAACAAAACAGCATGATGTGAAAATGGAATTTTGACGTGGGAGGGTATGAGAAAACAGGCTGCAGGGCACTGGTGGGGTAGATGAGGCAGTTCTGTGGTAGTAAAGGCACATAGCTGAGATCTTTCGTGATGGGCTCTAACTTTGGCCAACAATTCTCTCCTGCGCAATGCTGGGCAAGTTCCTATGAATCCTCACCTTCCTGCAACGAACTGCGTGCCTAGGGACATTCAGAAGTGAATTTAATGTTGTGGAACTACTCAAAAAGTTGGTATCTGTGGCATTTCTGGCTGTGGCAGATCATCTCCCAGCTCAAAAAGTGCCCAGCTTGCAGTATCTCCTTGTGCTCTGTTGACCTGATGCTGCTCTACAATTCTTGTGGAGTGGGAAATTATATATATATATATATATATATATATTCTTAGTAACACTCCCTGCATGTACAGATCTCTCTGGACTTGTAGTTGGGAGATCTTGGCTGCAAAAAAACATTCTTTTTAAGAGTGGCTGAAAACAACTCGTTGAAGCCTGCCTCATTATCTCTTTTGCTGCCGGGGAAGACATAACCATGGTCTAACGGATGCTTCTAATCTGGCACCCACGTCGATGCCTCCTGCACAGCAATACATTCGGCTATTTCACTTTGAGATGTTTTGTATTTCCACTGCAACTCCCACTTTTACTGCTAGTTTAAACAGTCAGTGTGCAGGCTCTCTGATTAGGGTAATTTTAATCACTTCTTTTGAAGAAATCCTTTACGCGGGCATGGGGATATTAATGCTGCAAAACACGGAGGCCTCACAGAGGGCCCAGAGGAGGCGATTTAAGGGGACAAACCGATGTAAAAGGCTCGTCAAGCACAACCTTCCCCACCATGGGGAAGGGGAGCGGGAAGCCAAACCCTCAGGCCTGCAAACCACAGCATGGGAGTGGATGGCAGCAAACTAAAACTAGGCTTCAAGACCAAACACAGGCTCTGCTTTTGGAAACCAGAACCGACTGAAACACGGAATGTTATCTCGGATCAGAATTGAGCTGAATTTCGGTAATTTGTGGCCTCAACAAATGCTCTCAAGGGCTCGTGCAGGAGGGGCCCTGGCCGCCATTTTGCGCATGGCCTCACACAGCCCCAGACAACCAACTGAGGCGCGCCATTTTAGTGCCCACTAGAAACCGGGCACAGACCCCAAAGCACCTCCAGGTGAAAATGGTCCCCAATCATTTAAAAATTATCAGTGCCCTGAGCTGCCTGTTTGGGGACAAGAACCAACCCCCTCTCCTTGCCAAGGTCCTTTCGAGGTGACTTCAAACCACCCCTGTGGCCCTTCCGCCCTCCCCCCTTTTCCTCCACGCCGTCCTCGCGCTCTCTCGGGTTTTCCTGGCAGCCCCGGCGCTTCCTGAGCCGCTTCCCTCCTGCGTCGCTTTGTCTGGGCAGCTCTGCTGGCAGCGGCCGCGCTCGCCCGAGCGGCACGGGCACCTTTGAAGCGTCTCTCATGCACAGCCAGCTCCTTCCACAGAGATAAGGGGTGAGGAAGGAGCTTCCCAGCACAGCAGCGGGGAAAAATAACCGAAAACACTCTTATCTTGGTAAAAAAAAAAAAAAAAAAAAAACCCACCATCCTATCCATTCCCTTTGCAGGAAGGGCCGTTGTGGGCGGCATGAGGGGGATCCCT